TGATTCCCTAAATTTGATTGTTCATGCAGTAAATTGATTTTTTTGAATTTAATTTTTTATACATGATTTTTTTTAAAATTTATAGGTTAATTACTATATAATATTAATTTGTAATATCTTCAACATTTTTCTTGAAACCTTAACGATAGATTTTTCTTTGGTGGCTCCTAAATATAGAAGATTCAGTGTAAAAGAACTTACTAACATCACGTTTTATTAGTCATTTTGATTATTCCCCAAGTTGAGTATTATAAAGTCACGTAAATATAGTTTGCTTGAAAGTAGAGATATTACGATTCGGCAAAACCCGCGATCTGAACTAATCTTTGAACAGTTTAATTGGATCCTGGTCTTTAATAAGAGTACAAATATATGATAACATATTTCAATAAATAAATATATATTTATATTTGAATATATTGGTAGCATTTATATTATAGAGATCTATCTTAACAAAATTTTTTTAAATAACTTTGAGAATATATATTTAAAAAATTCTTACGCGAGAACTATCTGATATTGATGATATTTTTTCCGCAATTTAAGCCAAAGTTAAATCATAAATCTATAAAATATCTTGAAATTATAATTAATTATATTTAAAGAGCAGTAGATTCTGTTTGTGACGTACACTTGGGTGTTGATCGGATCTTTTTTATAAGGTAATTTTTGCTTATTTCTTGAGTCAAAAACATGTTTAATTTTTCATTTTTTCAGTTTGTGCTATAGTTGATGGTAGAATTACTGTTATTATATTGATATAGTAAAATTAATTTTATCATAGTATCTGATTAATACTACATTAACAATAGATTGCACATACTATATACCAGTATACTGTATTGAAATATCTTATCAAAGAATTGACAATCAATTTCTAGATTTAACGATGTTTAAAGGGAGTTAAATATATAAAAAAATTATTTTTTAAAATAATTGGCAGTAAGAGTGATAAAGAACTTTAAATGACCCAAATAACCCAAATAACAAATGACTAGTTATTGGTTATTTCAAACCCTGAATGATCTTTAAAGGTTATTTAGCATATCGATATGTTAGTTAAAATTCTGATACCTATTAACCAATCAGGATTGGCCATCAAATAAAATTAAATTGTATACAAGTAACTCTTGATATAAGAAAGTTGCCGGATTTTCTTATATCGAATGCTTTTTATTAAAAATTTTTCAATTGGGATTTAAAAATCTTTCTTATACAAAGAGTTTCTTATATTGAAGGTTTCTTATATCGAGAGTCACTTGTAAATATATATTTAATAATTGTAGCTATATGTTAAGGTCAAAATTTTATTAAATTAATCAATATTTACAGTAAGTGACGTTGTTCGGAATAATATATGCAGTTTATAACTTAAGACATAAATATTAATTGACTTGGTAAATTTTTGACTTTACAATACGATTATCAATTAGAAAAATAATAAAGTTCTATAACTTTTTATATGAGCAATTCAACTAATAAAAATTATTTTACATACAAATGACCCAAATGACCTGGTTATTATTTGATGACTTGGGGTGGATATGATTGTCAGTGAAATGATCGTCAGGAAAGTAATTGAGTCAAGTGAAAGCTAAAGAAGTTCAAGAGACAAAAGTGGGATTTGATATAATTAATTAATAAAAAATTATACGCATTAACTAAACTATCATGAATAAGTAGGTATAATGTAAGGTCAATATATAAATTACAGCTGTTTTCACAAGACATGAACATCGATTCCAATATATTTATGTTTGAAAGTTAAATTTCCATGAATAAAAATCACAGCCATTTTCGAAAAGGTGTGAGCAAGCGTAGATAATATTTCCATAATTTTCAGTATCTCACACAAAAAGGTGTAATCTGCATGTTCAAATTTTCAGAATTTTTAAAGCGCTCATAAATTTCTACTAATCAGAACTTCCTATATGGAAATCGTTGTTTTCACCTTTTGAAAACAGCTATAATCTGGTCTTTAGTTTTACTAATAAAATTTCCAAATTCTTTAATACATATACAGTTAACTCTTTCTATAACGAATTGACGGTTCTGAAAGGAAAAAAATTCGTTATAGAAAATCACTATGTTTTCTTAAGGACCTATGGCATTCTCTATACTGAATTATTTTGAAATTTTAAAAATTTTGTGTTCGTTATATCCAGAGTCGATTGTATAGAAATCGGTATATAGTTGGAACAATGTGCGCAAATGCGGAGTGCACATAAAATTTCTTGCTCATAAAATTTCTTACTTAAATATTAAATCAACATGCGATCATATGATTCGAACACACGTACTTTTCAAGCTGAATTTTTTGTGCTAGCACTAATTAACAATGCATCTGCTTATTTATGTCGTACGTTGTAATGGAATTATAGTAGATTTAGAATCAATCTATTGATATACTATCGAAATAAAGAATATCAGAAAAAGAGTTATGATCGAAGTATGAAAGTTCACAACACTTATTATACTTACAAGCTTAATGAAACCACACACTTGCAGCTACGAATAAAACCACACACTAGTACTTCAACGAAGTCACAGACGAAACCTACACTTGCACTTCAACGAAGTTACGGACGAAACCCACACTTGTACTTCAACAAACTCACAGACGAAAACACACACTTGCACTTCAACAAACTTGCAGACAAAACTACACACACGGATGAAACCACACACACAGACGAAACCACACGAACACGGACGAAACCACACACTTGCACTTCAATGAACTCACAGAGGCTTTAGCCTAAAATTACCATGGCTATCCAAATAGTACTTGTACTATCAAATTGACGTTTTACACCTGCTGAAATAAAAAATGTTAGAAAAGAAATATGAACGAAATCAGACGCTCATCACTAAGTTCTACTTACAAGAGAATGGGTATCGGTATAATCAAAATTGTTTGGGCGAAGCTTTATAGCTTTCTAGTAAAACTTTAAAGCAGTAAAGGTTTAGCAAAACTCTTAGTCGTCGTGTCAAGTAAAATTCGAATGTAAATTATGCTATAGAGACTTTTATGAAAGAATTTTTGCCAAAAATAAACTGCAAAGAATAGAATATTTTACTATCAGAGAAGAAAAGGGGTCAATAGTAAGTTGCCAAGTATGCAAAAAAAGAAAACCAAGACAATATGTATAGCTTAGAATCGATCATTGATTCTGCAAACTCGAGCATATATATGCATAGAAAGTAAGCAAAGACATAAAAAACAATAAGAATTATAATCTGAAAACTAGAATATTACACTATACAAAATTAAATAAGAGTGCAGGAAGTCAATATAATCACATTAAAAATAAGATTTATGCAATAGCTATTTTACTAATCACACGATCAGTCATGTCACAGAGTCAAAGAAAACTTTAAAATTTCGAAGACAATATAATTTAACAATTTTTCACTCAGATTATCCAAGAGATACTTATAAATATCTTTTGAATTTCATTAATTATTAAAAAAAAAAAAAATAGTTTCTCCTATAATTCGAGAATAAATAATTTTATGATAAAAATTTTACTTATTTCATATATAACTCAATAATAATATTCAAAATGAAACAAATGTTGTTTTAACTGTTTATTTTAATTTTTTCGATTTTGTAAAAATATAATATTCATTAAGGCAAATATACTTGGGCAGACTACATGAGAGTACTTATAAAAAATAATTTCAGGCAAAATTAAATTATAATTTCGGATAAATTAAGAATAATTCCGTAAAATTAAGTATAATTCCTTCCAGACAAAATTAGGATAGGCAAAATTAAAATATAACAGTTCAACCTTATTTGTTGTTCCAGTTGTTAATATTATTTTTAAAAATCAAAAATAAACACATGAATATGTCTATATAAAAATAATTACTTTACTTAAACATAAACCAAACAAGCTCTACTATGTATATTAGCTAAAGCGAAGCCCATAATGCATACATAAATTTATAGAGAGGCACAAAGGAAGATATGTATACGAAGAAGTAAGTTGAAAACTCAGCGAGGCTCCATAATGCATACATATTGTAATAGGAATAATTATGATTATGAAAGTACTTAATAAAATATACAAGTTCTATAGACGTTACGCTTAATTTGATCAAAACTATTGCTAAAATCTAATCACTGTAATTGCAAAGTGGTAAAAACTTTTCTCTAATTTATATTTATTAGAATATTCTATGTATTTATTGTATTCATTCATTTCATCAGGTAGAAAAGTGAAAAAAAAATTTATTGAGAAGTATTATCCGAAAACAATCTTGTAAGTTTTTTTAAAACTTATATATAATGACAAAAATTTAATCAAATTTAATCAAATTTTTTAAATTAATTCTATATTAAAATTATTTTAAAGTTATATGTAATCCACGGATTTATATGAATGAGGAATTTGGCTGTTCATTTTCTCATGATAAAAAAGATTAATGTTTTTTTACAAGTAATTACAGTTGTGAACCAACAAACTATATTTATTAAATTAGTAATTACAGTTGTGAACTGACAAACTATATTTATTAAATTGGAAAGAATAAATAATTCAATGAATGTAATCAAAAAAAATAACGACAAGAAGCAATTTTATTTGAGTAAGTATAAAATTAGCAAGTACTACAGATATAATGATAATTGTTCAAAAATCATGTGATAATTAATACGGCAATAGCCATTCTTTATTTTATAATTATCGAAAACAATATTAAAGGAAGGATTTGAAATATGAATTATTTTTCAAAATAGTATTGCCGAATTTAATAAAATAGTAATTTTTATAAAAAAGAATATTTGGATTTTTAATAATTTTGAATTTAAAGTTTGAGATTTAGGATTACAAAAAAATTATATAAGAAATAATATGAATTATTAGCAATAAAGTTTTTTTTTCAAAAAGAAATGCAATCTAAAGAAATATACGAAACTGGAATCAGTTTAATAAAAAAAACTATAAAAACAGATTTCAAATTTTCTATACTAAACTTATCATAAAGGAAGCCACCGAATATCTTGCTCCTTGTAAATCCTATCATGAAAACATATATGCAAAAAATAAAAAATTTTGCATTAAAAATTTTATCTCGACATTTAATAAATATAAAGAGGTAATAAACTTTATTAAAAACAATGAGGAAGAATTAGAGAATTTTACCTTAGCAACTATAGCTCAAGATAGAATTATATTTTGGGAAATGGTTAATGCTAAATTTATGAATTCAAGTTATAATGAGTTAGATGATTACTTGAGAGATAAATTACAACAAATGAAGCATGTGCAAGAAAGATTTAAAACTAGAATCAAAGCTTTAAATTATGATAATATTAATAATATTAATTCATATATAATTAATTGAGAGCCATATAGATTATTGCTATTAAAAGATCAAGTTTTTAACAAAAAAAAATTTGATTCTGTTTATTACCCATATTGTGATACCATGGAAAGTTTCATAACTGACATAGAAATATTAGAATTACTCATTGATCAATATAAAAATTTTGATAGAATTTGCTTTATCGAAAAAGAATTAAATATAAAATAAAATATATAGTACTTTTTAAATATCTTTATCATTACCTGATCTAGTAATCGATTTTAATAATAAGTTTTTTTTTTTTTTTTAGCTAAATTTTGTTTAAGCAAAAAAGTAATATCCATTTCTTCAATACAAAAGTATCAATATAAATTTTTTATATTCAAGTCGCAAAAAAAGATTTAATGTTATTGCAATTTGTTTATATAAGTATATAGTATCATAACTATCTTCTCTATTGCCTTTTCTTTCATATATTAATAAATCGTTAATTGATGTATTAGTGTGGAGAGTATTAAGGTAAAGATACTGACTTTCTACAGCAAGATTAAGTTGTAATACTTTTACAGCAACCTCACAATTAAATTGCATAGTTTATTTTGATTTAGATATGATAAATTAATCAGATTTATATATGAAACAAGTTCATATATCTATGTTGATATATTTTATTATTGTTTATTTCTTGGAGCTAGTTGTTTTTCAATATTGATTTATTGATAGTATAGACTTCAGGTTTGATTAATTCAATTGAAGTTGAGCAGTTATGTTGTGCAATATAATCATTAGGTTCGATTGAATTCAATAATACAATACAAAAATTTGTTTTAATTTATTTTATTATATTTCATTTCTGTGTATTAATTAATTTTAAGCAGATTCTTCATGTCCAGTGCTTCTTTATATTTTTTATAATACAATGCAATATGACTTTCTTTTTAAATTCTTAGCTTGAATAATTATTTTTTGATCTGAATTTACAAGTATCAATTTCAAAAAAAAAATAGTCTAAGCTTTCTCATATTCTTTTTTATCATGGTACCTTTCTGCAATTTTAAGGCTAATTTATCAATGTTTTCCTCATTGAATATTTCAAATTAATCTTTCAATTTAAGAACTAATTGACTTAATTGTTTTAAAGAAAAAAAAATTGAATTGGATTTTAATTGGTATTCTTTTTATTAATTTTTTTTAGTTTTTTTAGGGGTTGAGTCAATAGAAACAAGCAAATATTTTTTAATAGGTTTTAGTTCTATCAAAGATTTCTAAGTGTACTACAAGAATAGAAAATATAATATTG